TCCTCCTCCTCCTCCTCCTCCTCCTCCTCCTCCTCCTCCTCCTTTTTCAGTACTGTCAGGAAAAACAAGAAGAAATTACAACAACCATATTGTATGAGTTGTACGACTATCTTGCAATTCAAGCTGGTAAGTTCTGATCAGTCAGAGTATGAAAATGATTATTTCTATCAACTGGGATATTTTCAGATTAAATATAAATGCAATTTTATATGTGGTGAATATAAGGCATGATTGATTAAGGCAGCACTGTTTCTATAATGATCATCTGTATATCTACTAGAATACAGGACATAATGCAACTGGATCTCCACATTTGCTTGGATTAATTGGAATTAAAAGACATACTGCTTGGAGTGCTAAAAATAATAAAGAGCTATTCTGACTTAGAATCAATGATACCCATGATTTTTTGAATCCCAGGTTAAAGCTACCCAAGATGGCAGCCTTGGCTAATATTTAATTATGTGCTAGGTAGAAAAGTACTTCCTTTTATCCTTTCTGAATGTCCCACCATTTAGTGTCATTTTTCACACGGTTATCTTTTTATACATACAATAAAAACTAATATAAAATTTAAAAAAGAGAAAAAGAAAACTAAAAGTGCAAGAAAAGAACAATGGAAAAGAAAATGATACAAAGTAGCTTCTGACCTTCTTTACAGCAGTTATAAATATAGTTATAAATTTATCTCTTACTGTGTGGTTACAACATAGCATTTTTAATACTCTGTTTTTTATATAATCATCAAAATCATAAGTTCATTTTTTTCAGTTTCACCTAAAAAGTCAATAAGGAGTTTTCATCCAGCAGTAAACGTAGATATTGTCTTTTCTCTGATCAAAGAAGTTAATTTAGCCATCCTAGCAAGATTCATCATCTTCACCAACCATTTCTCCTTTGTGGGTAGTGCTGAATCTTTTTATTTATGTACGTACAATAATATTACTACAGTTATCATGTACAAAAACAAAGTTCCATAAGTTTTTCCAACTGTTTCTCCAATCCCAAAAGAAAAACCTCTGGTCTCAATTGTATATTAATCTTTCAAATCCTCTGAAACTGTGTGTATTTGAATCCAAAATTTTCTAGCTTTTTACACATCCACCAAACAATATGAAATGTTCCTTCTTGTTGAGAGCTGAAGAAGCTTCTTGGATGAGAAGCTAAACGTCTTCAAAGAAAAACAAGAAAGTCCAGTTGCCTCGTGAAAAAGCACTTTTGGGGTTCCTTCTTGTTGTTCACATTTCTAGCATAAATGTGAAATGCCTTTATATATTCTGGATAATTTTCTGGTGACATATATCAATTGTACGTCACTTTATAAATGTTCCCTTTAGGATTATAATTTGGTATAAATTTCAATCCTCTCAGATACATATTTTACCATTGTTCCATCTTTATATTATAACCAAAGACTTTAATCCGCTTGGTCATACATACTTTCACTTGCTATTCTTGTTTCAAGTTTCACTAAAAGTTAGTACGTTTTAACAATTCCTAATAATTTGTACACAGTTTTGTTTCAAACTCATTCTTATAATGTTCAAAACCATAAATTATTTTATCTACTTTAAATCTTTCTAGTAATAGTGAATAAGAGAACCATTAGCTAATATAACCTCTGCCACAGTTCTTTTCCTTATTTAAAGCTCTAGTATCTTGTGATAAGTTAACCATTTGTATTTGCCTATATTTCTCTGCTTCTTGTGCTGAGATCCACACAGGAGCATAACCTGTGTTTATATCTATTCCATATTCTAACATAATTATTTTTAAGATCCACATTAACCTTGTTAACCACCCTGATCTCAGGTCATGTCCTTCCAAAATGTCCAGGCCCAAAAGCCTTCTATTTCTCAGCAATACCCACTCTTTATCCAAATCAAACGGCAAACTGCAAAATACAATTTCAAATCAGGTGAATCTAATGCTCCTCTTTCCCTTGCATCTTGTAACACTTTACAGTTAACTTGTAATTTTCCCCCTCCCACATGCATTTAACTATATATTTCTGCCACTGTTTTTATAGTATATCAATTGTCAAAACAGTTATTGTCTGAAACAAAACATCTTTCTAGACAAGACATTCATTTTTCTCACAGAAATTCTCCCCAACAATGACAATTGTAGTTTATTCCACCTTATCTTTTTTTAACTTCATTCCATGTCTTAACATAGTTATTTTGAAATAATATACAATTCATATTTATCATGATATCCAGATATTTTACCTTTTTATCAATCTTAAAACCCATTCTATTCATCTGCTTGATCATTACTTTCACATTTTTGTTAACATCTTTATCTTTTGTTTATTCATCATAAAACCTGATAATGCACCAAATTCTTTTAATTTGCACATTAATATTTCAGTTCCCCTTAAAAGATCTTCTAGGGCCAACTCCAAGTTATCTGCAAAAGCCCTTAATGTATACATTTCTTTTTTAAATCTTTACTCTCACAGTCCTCTCAACGTATATCTCTATTCAGTATTTCAAAAATCAAAATAAACAAGAAAGCAGACTGTGGGCAGTCCTGTCTTGTTCCTTTTTTTGTATCTCATAGTAAAGAGTATATTTACATTGAGTTGTAAATCGATTTAGTCATTTTATAAAGTTTTTTTCCAAACTTTGAACAAGAAAACACAGTTGAAATTACCAAAGAACTTCTCTGCATCTAAGAAGATTAGTGTGCTTTCATTATGTTGTTCCAAAATGTTCAGCACATTTGTAACATAGTTCTTTAACTGTGTTTTAGTAAAACCACACTGATCCTTGTGAATAAATTCTTGCAAAAACTATTTTGAGTATACCAGTTAAAACTGTTGTGAATAACTTTATTGTCATTATTCAATCATTGTTTTCTTATTAAAGTCAAATCTTGTCTTTCTTTAGGTATTAATGTTATACTAGCCTATTTCCAGCTCTCTGGTATTTTTCCTCCCCATAGGATAGAGTTTATCATGTCTTGTAAAGGTTTTGACATACAGTATAATAAGGAAGTTTCTGAAATTATAAAAGAGATTAAATTAGGAAAGGTGCCTGAACAAGATGGATTATCAGGTTCTTATTATAAATGTTTAGGGGATTAACTTTAAAACCTTTACAAAACATGATGAACTCTAGACCGTATCTTGATTTTTAATTTTTTGCTTAGAATAACTTTTTTGATTGTAACAACCCATATACTTCCTTTCTTTCAGGCTTATTCATTTTTCTTTGTCTATGTTCCTTCTAATCTGCATTGTAGAAGGGGCGTTGTCTTACCTGAACGCCTTTTCTCAGCACGGAGATGGAGGATCCACCCATGGGTAGTAGACTGTATTCCTGCCCAATCAGATTAAGTCAGCCAAAGTTGCCACGCCCGTCCTGGACCCTAGATTCCAGTCTTGACGCGAGCGAAGCCATTGACTGACATAGGACGTACTGGCTCAGAAACTAAAC